ACCAAACCTGGCACACAGATGCAACATGGACAACCGTGCATACAGGCCTGGTTTGGGGAAGATTGGCCCACACTTTTTTTTTGGTAATAGATTTTTATTAATAAATTTAAAGAGGGAGAATATTCAAAAGAGGATAGGAAAGTAGGAAAGAGATAGGAAAAAAAAGAAAAAAAGAATAATAAAAATAAAAAGTAAATTGACTTCCATTCCAGTCTCAGGATCTTCTTGTCTTTTGTTTCGTTGTTTTATTTACATCTTCTTTGTCTCTTTCGTTTTTCTATTTTTTTCATAGTCATAGAAAAGGACCCAATCTGTCCTTTTTAAAGATTTCCCGGTATTTTTCCTTAGCAAAAAAGTTAGTTCATCCATGTCTCTTATTTCTTTAATCTTATCCAGCCACTCATCAAAAGTAGGAATTTGTTCTTTTTTCCAAAATTTTGCAAAAATAATTCTAGCCACTGTTGTGATGAATGTAAACCAGGGGTCCACAAACTTTTTAAACAGAGGGCCAGTTCACAGTCCCTCAAACTGTTGGAGGGCCGGGTTATAATTTGGAAAAAAAATGAATTAATTCCTATGCACACTGCATATATCTTATTTGTAGTGTAAAAAACACTTAAAACAATACAATAATTAAAATGAGGAACAATGTTAACAAATATAAACTTATTAGTATTCTAATGGGAAGTGTGGGCCTGCTTTTGGCTGATGAGATAGGATTGTTGTTGTTGTTGTGTGCTTTCAAGTAGTTTCAGACTTAGGTTGACCCTGAGTGAGGGCCGGGTAAATGACCTTGGAGGGCCGCATCCGGCCCCCAGGCCTTAGTTTGAGGACCCCTGATGTAAATAATTTGTCTTCATTTTCATCAAGTTGTAGTTCCAAGTCAGTAAAGCCTAGCAAATAATACTCTGGTTTCTTCTCAAACTTCCTGTTTAGGATTTGTTGTGTCTCCTCATGAATCAATGACCAATACTTAGATGTTTCCTTACATGTCCACCACATGTGATAGAATGTACCAGTCTGATCACAACCTTTCCAATATTTATCTGAAATGTTTTTATACATATGGTTTAATTCTTTTTGGAGTGCATAGGTATATTTTAATTTCTTGTTCCACATTTGTTCCCACTCTCTAAATTGGACCGGCCTTCTTAAGTTCTCTGCCCACTTAATCACACAGGATTTGACCTGTTCCTTTTCAGTCAACCATACTAATCTATATATATATATATAAATGCTCTGTGCATAATGAGTACCTTAAAAACAAAAGAACCAATGAACGAAATCACACCAAATTTGGCAACAAAACGTCTCACAACACAAGGAGTGACCATCACTCAAAAAATTATGATTTTGTCATTTGGGAGTTGTAGTTGCTGGGATTTATAGTTCACCTACAATCAAAGAGCATTCTGAACTCCATCAACGATGGAATTGAACCAAACTTGGCGCACAGAACTCCCATGACCAACAGAAAACACTAGAAGGGTTTGGTGAGCATTGACCTTGAGTTTGGGAGTTGTAGTTCACCTACATCCAGAGACTACCATGGACTCAAGCAATGATGGATCTGGACCAAACTTGGCAAATATGCCCAAATGTGAACACAGATGGAGTTTGGGGGAAATAGACCTTGACATTTGGGAGTTTTAGTCATTGGGATTCACAGTTCACCTACAGTCAAAGAGCATTCTGAACCCCATGAACGACAGAATTGGGGGAAACTTCCCACACAGACCTCCATGACCAACAGAAAATACTTAAGGCCATCCAGTCCAACTCCCTTCACCAGGGCAAGAAAATGTAATCAAGGCCCTCCTGACAAAGAGCCATCCAGCCATAGATATAGATAGATAGATATGATTCACACACAGAGGGATATAGTGTCATAGATGTGAAAGGGACCCCTAAATAAGGACAGGGATATGTTGCATGTTCCAGGGTGGGCAAACCAGACACTCTCCACATCAACACTGACAAAGAAATAGCAAGAAATACTGTTTACCCACAAATATAAAGAAATTACATATATTAGAAACCAACACTTTCTCATTACTTATTTTCCAGATCACCAGACTGGGCCACAGCAACACGTGGCAGGGGACAGCTAGTAGTTTATTATAAATCATTGTGACTGTTTTCTTTTTCAACTTCAATATTTTGTCCCATATTGTTTCATCCCAGTCAAACCTACTTTTTTGTCTTGTTTGTAATAATCTTTAATTTGTAAGTAATGGAGCCATGTAATGTTTTCATAACTGTCCTTCAGTTGTTCAAGAGTCTTAATATCCGTTCTGTCTTTAACTAAAACATCTCTATATGTCGGCCACGTTATCCAACCTAGAAGTCTCCTCTGGAGTGCCTCCATTGGAGAGATCCATAATGGGGTCATTTTATAAAAATATGTTTTATACCTCATCCAGGTTCTTCGTAACGAGGCTCTTACATCGTTAAGCATTTTCTAATGGGAGCACTCATCAAAAAAACAAACAAAAACAAATCAGAAACTGGCTTCTTTCTGATACTAATTAACTAAATGGTATTACCTAACACACCAAAACAATACCTTTTTCAGATAAATAGGGCACCACCGGATACTCAAGCTAGTCTTAAACATAAACATTGCATTTAGACTCCCAAGAAAACATCACAATGTCGATAGGATCCAAGATGTCCTCTTTACTTAACTTGGGTCCCGCCTCCTGAATCCTTCCCGAAATCGAGGGGAGGAACCCAAAGTACCTCTGATTTTGTAAAACTGATAATATCATAGTTGTATTGAAGACAATCTCTTGCAATGTATTTCCATCCGAAGCATTTGTAGCGAATGCCCATTTTTCCCCCCTCAAATGTGGCTCCCCTTCCGTGGCAAATTTAGCCCCTAAACCGATTTCTGAAAAATTAGGTCAGTTAAAAGATTTGGCCCCGCGACCCTTTGACCTCGTGTTTACTTAATGCTAAGCTGCCCGAGTGAAGCAGGGGAATGTGGGAAGACGAGGGGGCCGTCTGGCGTGGAACGGAAAGGAATCGGGATTTTTTTTTTGAAATGTAAATAACGACGACAAGGGTTCCTCTGCCTCCGTCCCCCATCTTTGAAATCGCAAAATCAAATGACCCATACGGCCGGCCCTCCACTCTCACTGGTTTGACTTCCATGAGTTTGATCTTTCATGGAGTTGAGGAAAATGCTATTTTTAGGGATCTCTAGGTTCTCCATACAGTCATGCTGGATGATGGAGAGACTGAGGGAGAGAGGGAGGGAGAGGGTGAGAAAGAAAAGGAAAGGAGGGAGGAAAGAGAAGGAGGAAGGAGAAAAGGAAGAAAGGAAGGAAAGGAGAAAAGGGAGAAAGGAAAAGGAAGTAGAAATGGAAGAAAGGGAGGAAGAAAGAATGTGTGGGAGGAAGAAAGGGTGTGTGGGAGGGAGAGAGAAAAGGAAGAAAGGGAAGTAGTTAAAAGAGAGAGGAAGAAAGAATTAAAAGGAGGGAGAAAAGAAAGGATACAGAAGGACGGAAGGAGAAAAGGAAGAAAACGAGGAAGAAAGAATGAAAGAAAGGGAGTGAGGGAAGGAGAAAGGGAAGTAGGAAATGGAGGAAAGGAAGGAGAAAGTAGGGAAAAAAGAATGAAAAGGAGAGGTGGAGAAAAAGAAGGAAGGGGAAAGGGAAGAAGAAAGAATGAAAGGGAGGGAGGGAGAAAAGGAAGAAAGAGAAGTAGGAAACAGGGAAGAAAGGAAGGAGAAAACGGTGAAGAAAGAATGAAAGGGAGGGAGTAAAGGAAAGAAGGAAAAAGAGAAGGTAGGAAGGAGAAATGGAAGAAGGAAGAATAAAAGGGAGGGAGGGAGAAAGGAAGAAAGAAGGAAAAAGAGAAGTAAGGAAAATTGGAAGAAAGAGGGAAGGAAATAATGAAAGGGAGGGAGAAAAGGAAGAAAGAAGGTAGGAAACAGAAAAAGAAGGAAGAGAGGAAAGGGAGAAAGGAAGGAAGGAAGGAAAGAGAGAGGGAAGGAAAAGAAGAAAGGAAGGAAGGAGAGAAGGAAGAGAAGAAAAGGAATAAAGAAGGAAAAGGGAAGGAAGCAGAAAGAAGAAAGGGAGGAAGGAAGAATGAATGAAAGAAAAGGCGTGAGGGAGGGGAAATGGAATAAAGGGAAGTACGAAACGGAAGAAAAGGAGAAAGCGGGGAAGAAAGAATGAAAGGGAGGGGGGAAAGTAAGGAAAAAGAGAATGAAGGATGGAGAAAGGGAGGGAGGGAGAAAGGGAAGTAGGAAACAGGGAAGAAATTAAGCAGGAAAGGGAGGAAGAAAGAAGGAAAGTGAGGGAAAAAAGGAAGAAAGAAGGAAAAAGAGGAAGGGAGAAAAAGGAAGAAAGAAGGAAAAGAGGGGGGGGAGAAAAGGAAGGAAGCTCGGTAGGTAGGAAACAGGAGGAAGGGAGAGAAGAAAGAGAAAGTAAAGGTAGGTAGGAAATAGGGAAGGAATTGATAAAGCGTGACGTAGTGGTTTGAAGCTGAGGCTGTGGATGTGAACCCAATGGGTGCTTTTAGGCGAGTCCCACTCTCTCAGCCTTTGAGGAAGACAAAAGCCAATTCCCTTTGAATGCATCTTGACCAGAAAACTCTGTCTGAGTCTGTTTCACTCCATGTTCTCATGTTGTTCGTTCTGAATTCAAAGTCCACCGAAAACTAAGGATTTTTGGTAGCGCAGACGTAGTTGTCAAAGAAACCACGATTGTGGATAAGGAGGAATATTCCCCTTTGTCCCTACCTGTCCACTTCGTGATATGCTCCGAACATTATGGACTTCTCTATTTTCAAGAGGAAAGGGGGAGGGTGTCATAGGATCGTCGGAAGATGGCCATTACGTACGCCATTCCACCATATAGAGGGGATGCTGGGAGGTGCAGTCGGACGAAGAAGGCCTTTTCCCTTCCTGTTGTGACTCAATGTCAGCCATAGCAGCTGAGCCCTCTGGAGAACTGGAGCCTTGGCAAACTTGTTTCCTTTCTCGTCTTTAGGGAAAGGCTCGGAAAGAAGCGCCTACGCATTTGGAAGAGACGCGGGCATGCCAGCTCTTAATCAGGTAAGCTGATCTTCTTCACCTCCCTTTGTGGTGTGGTCTTTTTTTTTTCAATGTTGTGTTTTTGCAGTTGTTTTGCATTGGTTTTATTTATTTTAATTTTTTTCGCAAGTCTTTTGCATAAAAAAACCTCTGCAATTTGTTTGCATGGGTTTTCTTTTGTGCAATTTTGATTTTTTTTCAGTATTTTAAAGCATTTTTTGCAAAAATATTTGCAATATTTCTTTTGCGTGGTTTTTGTAAACGTTTTGCAATATTGCATAGGGTTTTTTTGCAATATTGTTTAATTGCAATATTTTCTGCATATTTTTTGCAGTGTTTCCATTTTGCAAGGGTTTTTTTGGCCTTGCTTTTTGCATTTTGTGTGGGAGAAAAAAATTCTCTTTTACCATTTTTTTTTGCTTTTTTTGCAATGTTTTGAACGTATTTTTTAAAGGGAATGATCATGAGCAGGTGGAGACTGTGACTTCTGTTTATAGGTAAACTGGAGTCCTATAATCCCATGGAGATTATTTTTACCATCTTCCACCTCTCTTGCTTGGCCTTTTTTTTGGGGGGGGGGGCACAGGATCAGTAGTTGGTCAGAGCCGAGAAAAGTTCTCTTGGGTTGCTGTGAGTTTTTCGGACTGTCTGGCCATATTCCAGAAGCATTCTCTCCTGACGTTTCACCCACATCTATGGCAGGTATCCTCAGAGGTTGTGAGGCCTGTTGAAAATTAGGCAAGTGGGGGTTATATACCTGTGGAGTGATGTCCAGGGTGGGAGAAAGAACTCTTGCCTGTTGGAGGCAAGTGTTAATGTTGCAATCAAGGAACATGAAAGGCACTAATGACTAATTCAACTTGAGAAGTCAGCCATAGCAGAGCACCTGATGAACCAACCTGGACACAGCATATTATTGGAGAACACAGAAATGCTGGACCACTCTGATAACTACCATGTCAGACTACACAGAGAAGCCACTGAAATCCACAAGAAGCATGTGGACAATTTCAACAGAAAGGAGGAAACCACGAAAATGAACAAAATCTGGCTACCAGTATTAAAAAAAAACTCTAAAATCAGGACAGTAAATAAAAAGCAACACTCAGAAAATAGGGGAATTCCAGACATGAAACAATCAGGGCCAGCTAAAACCTAACGGGATTTCCCGGGTAGGAAGCAGCCAGGCTTTTATGCTGCAAGGCCATTCAATGCTAATCAAGGTGACCAATTGCAACATTCACACCTGCCTCAAGCAGACAAGAGTTATTTCTGCCGCCCTGGATGTTATTCCGCAGACATATTCCCGTTATTCACTTGCCTTGTTTCCAACAGACTTCACAACCTCTGAGGATGTCTGCTATAGATGTGGGCAAAACGCCAGGAGAGAATGCTTCTGGAGCATGGCCATACAGCCCAGAAAACTCACAGCAGCCCAGTGGTTCTGGTCATGAAAGCTTTCGACAACACAGTTTTCTTGTCTCTCACTATGGTGAACTAGTTTAGGTGCGGCGAGACTTGGGTTAGGTATTTTGTAATGCCGTTGATTAGAAAAATAGTTATTGTTTTGATTTTGGATATTATGAATGGTTAGATTAGCTATACATATGGCTCTTCTGATGTAGGATAAACATGGGCCTTTGGATATGGGTGTACTACAACTCCAAACATCCTGGGTCAAACACTGCCAGTATTTTAAGATGACCATAATTGCTATCTAAGGCCAGCTTTGTTCCAGATCCATCATTGATGGAGTTCACAGGGCTCTCGTGAGTGTGAGTGGACTACAACTCCCTTCTTCCTCCTATAATCTTACGTAAAACCTTGCGATTATTTTAGGTTGGTCATGATGGATCTGTGTCCCAAGTTTAATCCATATCCATCATTGGTGGAGTTCATGGGGCTCTCTGGATGTGGGTGGACTACAACTCCCATCATCCTGGGTCAAACCCTGCCAGTATTTTAAGGCGATCATGATAGCTATATGGGCCAGGTTTGGTCTAGATCCATTGTTGGTTGGCTCTCTAAATGTGGATGGACTACAACTCCCACCATCCTGGGCATCTCACCCCCCCCCCCAAATCCCCCATAGTAGGTAAGGTTGGTCATGATGGGTATGGGTGCCACGTTGGGTTGAAGTCCATTACTGTGTAGGCATCAAATTGTGCCTTTTGTAAGCCGCCCTGAGTCCCCCCTCGAGGGTTGAGAAAGGCGGGGTAGAAGTACTCGAAATAAATAAATAAATAAATAAATCATTGGTGGGATTATCTGGATGTGTACAACTCCCATACTTCCTCAATAATAATAATAATAATGACGCTTTATTTGTAAGTGAAACCTTGCTAGTATTTAAAGATGGCCAAGATGAGTCTTTGTGCCAAGTGGGGTTCACAGGGCTGTCTGTATGTGAGGAGGGACTGTAACTCCCATCATTCTGGGTCAGCTCCCACCCAGTATTTCAAAGAGGTTTGAATCAATTTCCGGCAGGATTCACAGTGCCCTCCGGATGTGGGGGACTACAACTCACATTATTCTGAGTCCAATTCCCCGCAACCCAGGCAGTACCTGTTCACAATGGTTACTGTGTGCCAAGTTTGGTCCAGATCCATAATCGGTGGGAGTTACAAGGCTCTCCGGATGTGGGTGGACTACAACTCCCATAATCCTGGGTCAAGTTCCATCCAGTATTTCAAGATGGTACGGAGCCATCTTTGGTGGCAGTTACGAGACTCTCCGGTTGTGGGTGGACTACAACTCCCATCATCCTGGGTCAAATTCCACCCAGTATTTCAAGATGGTCCAGATCTATCTTTGGTTAGAGTTATAGGGTCAACTCCCACCCAGTATTTAAAGACTGTCCTGATACATCATCAATGGAAGTTTCAGGGCTCTTCGGATGTGGGTGGACTACAATTCACATCATTCCTGGATCAGCTCCCACCCAGTACAAAAGAATTATCAATGGATTCACACTGCTCTCTGGATGTAGGAGCCACCCTAGAAAATACATACACACAGCATGATATATGTAGAAAGAAAAGTTATAGATTACAACTCCCAGAATCCCTGGCTCTCCCTAAAGATTGGAGGATTTTGTCTGGGTTAAGAAAAACAACCAGAGCCTAATCCAAATCCTTTCAAAGCTGGGGTTACGTTCTTCAGGCAGAGGGCGAAGCTCAAGGGAGAAGACGGACTTTCTCGGGCGCGATTCGCATCTGTTTGCGCCAGTCTTTCCTCCACATCCGTTGAGCAGCTCTCTGTTTCAGAGAGGCGTAAGTCGTCCGCTCCCATCCCGGCAGCATAATGCGGAGAGACGCGTCTGCACACGCGAAACTTTGCAGAATCCTTTTAACAACAACAACAACCAAAACATAACAAGGAAAGAAGGGGAAGAAAGAAGCTGGATTTTAAATTCAACACATGTTTAATAGCCATATATATGCATGCATGCATGCATGCATATCTTTGGTCCATTGAGCTCTCCGTTAACCAGCACTCAAACAACCAGAACTCTCAAGCAACCAGGAAAGAAAATAAAAAATAGTACTTTAGATAAAAAGCAAAATACATCAACTACTGAGTTGTCTTTATTTGTCTTAATTGGCATTTAATGACTTAATATAGAGTCAACATAGTATAGTACAGAGTATAGTATTAGTCAGGCCTATTTTTAATAGGAAATCTCATGCAACCAGAAACAACATTTATCTGGCATCTACCAAAACCCAATGGGTGCCGATTAATTGAAAGTCTGCTGTAGTAACTTTCCCCATGGGTGCCAGTTAACTGAGAGTCTATGGTAAGAATTTTCCCCATTAGTGCCAGTTAACTGGGAGTCTGGTTGTAACTTTCTCCCTCGGTACCAGTTAACTGAGAGTATAATAACTTTCCCCATGGGTGCCAGTTAACTGAGAGTATGGTAATAAATTTCCCCATGGGTGCCAGTTAAGTGAGAGTATGGTAATAACTTTCCCCATGGGTCCTGGTTATTCGAGAGTCGATTGTAGTAAGTTTCCCCATGGGTACCAGTTAACAGAGAGTATGATAATAACTTTCCCCATGGGTACCAGTTAACAGAGAGTATGATAATAACTTTCCCCATGGGTGCCAGTTAACTGAAAGCATGGTAATAAATTTCCCCATGGGTGCCAGTTAAGTGAGAGTATGGTAATAACTTTCCCCAAGGGTCCTGGTTATTCGAGAGTCTATTGTAGTAACTTTCCCCATGAGTGCCAGTTAACAGAGTATGATAATAACATTTCCCCATGGGTGTCAGTTAACCGAGAGTCTATTGTAACTTTCCTGTGGATTCCAGTTAAATGAGAGTCTATTGTAACTGTCCCCATGGGTACCAGTTAACTGAGAGTATAATAACTTTCCCCATGGGTGCCAGTTAACAGAGAGTATGATAATATTTCCCCATGGGTGCCAGTTAACCGAGAGTCTATTGTAACTTTCCTGTGGATTTCAGTTAAATGGGAGTCTATTGTAACTGTCCCCAAGGGTACCAGTTAACTGAGAGTATGATAACTTTCCCCATGGGTGCTGGTTAACTGAGAGTATGATAATAACTTTCCCCATGGGTGCTGGTTAACCGAGAGTCGACTGTAGTAACTTTCCCTTGATGCTGCCTAATTTAGAGTCTACGGTAGTAACTTTACCTCTGGGTGCTGGTTAATTTAGAGTCTACGGTAGTAATTTTTCCCATGGGTGCCGGTTAACTGAGAGTCTACTGTAGTAGCTTTCCCCATGAGTGCCAGTTAACCTGAGAGTGTACTGTAGTAAGTTTCCCTACATAGATGACTGACTGGTGGCAGTTTGTCCTTATGCTCTTGGCTCCAGGATGGTATCCTGTGTTGTCATTCTTCCTCTTCATTTCTTCTCTTCCCCTTCCTTCCTTCCCAGCAACCTGGTTTCCTGCCCAGCGAAATGGGGATCGCAAGTCCCAGCACGCTGTCGCCAACGGGGGTGAAGGGCGGGTCACAGTACTACCCGTATGGCAGCAGCAACCCTCGCCGGAGAGGTGCGGAGAGCAACATCGGTACGTGGGAGCCTTGCTGATTTGGGGTGTTGTCTCTGGAGGGTGGAAACCGGGGTCTTGGGGTGCATCTACACTGTCGAATGGATGCACTTTGACACCGCTCCAATCACCATGGCTCAGTGTAACTCCAGCCTGGGCCTGGTCATGTTAGAAGGTCTTATTAGCCTTCTCTGTCCAAAAGAAGTGCCGGAGTCTCCCCAAACGACAACTCCATCGCATTTAGCCAAATTGCATTCATTTGACAGTGTAGATGCACTCTTTGGGCACGTTCCTTCCAGCCTTTGCTTTCCCCAGACTCCCCTTTTGAAACCCCCCTCCCACCTGCTGGCTTATTATGGGATGGAGCGGAGGTGGGAGAGAGAAAAAAAGCCCCGCTCCACATCCTTGCATCTGGCATTCATTGACGGAAAGGAATCCCAGGAATGGAGACCTGTTGGAGAAGTCGGCCATGTGGCTTTCCCTTTCTTTCTTTCTTTCTTTCTTTCATTCTTTCATTCTCTTGATTTTTCGCATTGAGGGAGGAGGCGAAAAGATTTCCCCCAGGCACTTCAGACAGCAATTCCCATGACTCCCAACTCCATGCTGACTATAGTCCCCATCAGCCCCGACCAAAGCGGTGGATCATAGGGGAGTTAATCCCAACATCTTCTTAGGCTACTGAGCTACTCCTGAACAGTTGTGTTTTTCTTTCAACGATTACATTCAAGGTGTGATATCAGTAGAAGTCCATGTCTACAGTAATCACAAACCAACAGCGAGAGAGAACAAAAGAGAGAAAGAAAACATGAAATTGCGAATGCCAAAAATAACCGCGGCACATTGCTCGAAAAAAACAATGACAACAATCATAGCAAAATTACATGTATCCCCCATGTTCAGTTCACAGTGCCAGGCAGCTAGAAAAATGGAAACAGAGTGGACAGGAAGTCAAACTGAGTCAGGGCTTGAAATATATATAATATATATGTATATATATACTACACACACACACATATTATTGTGTAAATACATACATTGAATAATAATATATACATAGGGACCATGGTCACGCAGTGGGTTAAACCACTAAGCTGTAGAACTTGCTGACCGGAAGGTCAGCTGTTTGAATCCACAGACGAAGCGAGCTCCCATTGTTAGCCACAGCTCCTGCCCACCTAGCACTTTGAAAACATGTAAAGGCACTCTATGCAATCATGCTGGCCACATGACCTTGAAGGTGTCTACAGACAACGCCAGCTCTTCGGCTTAGAAATGGAAATGAACACCATCCCCCAGAATCAGACTCAACTAGACTTAATGCCAAGGGGAAACCTTTACTTTTATTACACATATTACATATATGTGTGTATATATATATATACACACACACATACATATTATTGTGTATATACACACATTGAATAATAGATATATACACAGGGGCCGCGGTGGTGCAACCGATTAAACCACTAAAGCTGTAGAACTTGCCGACCAGAAGGTCGGCTGTTCAAATCCACGGACGAGGCGAGCTCCTATTGTTAGCCCCAGCTCCTGCCACCCTAGCAGTTTGAAAACATGTAAGAGTGCTCCATGCAGTCATGCCAGCCACATGACCTAGGAGGTATCTATGGACAATGTCGGCTCTTCGGCTTAGAAATGGAAATGAACACCACCCTCCAGAGTCGGACGACTAGGCTTAATGCCAAGGGGAAACCCTTACCTTTACTACATATATATATATATGTATGTATATATATCCTTTGTTCCTTCCCTTTCAGATGGGCAGCCAAAAAAGGTCCGAAAGGTGCCTCCTGGACTCCCTTCTTCGGTAAGTTCTCTCTTCTCGACAAATGTATAGCAGTTGGCAAAAACTTCTGTGTTTTGATTTAGCTTTGAGCCTCTCTGATTGGCTGAGATTCTGTGATGTCACTAAAGGCCTGTTTTAACCTGAGGTGCAACTATAATGTAGAATGAATGCAATTTGACAACATTAAAGGCACCATGGTTCAAACAATGGAGTCCTGGGAGTTGTTGTTTGGTGAGGCGCCCGCACTCTTGAGCAGAGAAGGGTAGAAACCTTATGAAACCACAACTCCCAGTATCCCATAGCACTGAGCCATGGCAGTGCAAGTGGGGTCGAATTGCATTCATTCAACTGTTTATGAATGAATGAGCTTTGAATGTGATTTTCCTGTTTCTTGGCAGGGGGTTGGACGGGATGGCCCACGAGGTATCTTCCAACTCTATGATTCTATGTGTAGAGGCACCATAAGTCTCTCGTTTTCTGGGATTCTCTGTCATTTCAGTGCACCTGATGTTTTCAAAGGTGGAACCCCAACACAATGTTTGGGTCAGAGATGGGTGGAAAAGCAGACACCACACACATACCTTTTACATTATGTGTTGTTGGATTTATATCTCGCTCGGATTTGTTCAGAGAGGGGTTGCCATTGCCTTCCTCTGAGGCTGAGAGAGTGCAACTTGCGCAAGCTCCTCAGTGGGTTGCCTGGCTGAGTGAAGATTCGAACTCAGGCCTTCCAATGTTGTAATTTGGCTCTAAACTATATATATTTGTGTTGGGGAGGCTAACACCCCTTCAATTGTAAAGGAATTGTATGTTCACTCAGCAGCGAGAGTAGCTGAAGAATTAACAAGAGGCGGAAAAGCGGTGGGATGACCCTCTTCCAAACTCAAAGGCATCTGATTTTCACTGTGAAAGAAGCCCCACTTTCCAAATGGAATGCTGAAATGCATCGCATTTTCGCATCTGGGAAGAAAACCCCGAGCGAGTGTTGAAATGCATCCAGTTTTGAGGTGGGAAGGGGTCTCCCCCTCCCTTTGGTTTTTGCTGTGGATGGGCTACGGACCCATTTGGGGGGCTCCCGAAGCTTCCGTTGCTGCGCCTTCACGGCCCATGCTTCTCTCCAGAAGCGGACCCACCCTCCCGTCCCCCCATCCCTGCCCCCAATTCCCTCTCCTTTTTTGTGTGTCTCTTTCTCTCCCCCTCTTTCCTCCCCTCCGTCTCCCGCCCCAGCGCCGCACAGCTGCCTGAAGAACTGGCCGGGTGCCAAACGCTGGCAGATGGCGTGCGGCTATTATTCCTGCTTTGCTCGAGTCCCCCGTTCCCCGGCTCCTGCTATTTAATCAAATTATAGGAAAAGGCAATTTGCTGCATTTCGTATTCTTCGTCGGCGCTGGCTTCATTCCCCCGCTCTGCCCCTCTCCCCCACTGCTTTTGCACACACAAAACACCCCTCTTTCTTTTTCTTTCCCGCCCCCTCCTTCCCACTCCGAGAGATATCTCTGTCTGCACTTGGCCGAAAGGAAGGATTTCGAGTCGCCAAACTTCGCCCTGCCCCCTCTTTCCGAGCACGACTTGTAGGTTAGTCTGAATGTGCGGACGGATATATTCCAGCCGGCGCGTTCCTAAGCATGACTTTGTGGCGAGAACGTTTGCTGGGAATCGTGAGGAAAGAATAGGGGAACACAAAGAAGAGGGGAAATTTTCCGTTCCAAACGAAGAATTGGTCAGAATTTTGAGAAAACAACCAAGTCCAGGGAAAGTGTATCCAAGTGAATGAAAACATTTTGAGCGCAAAGAAACAAAAAAGAAGAGTTCTTCGGGTGAATTTCTCATCCAAATGAAAACTTTTGCTGAAAACAAAGAAGTGGGTGATATTTAGAGAAACAAAACAACCAAGTTGGGGAAAGTGTGTCGAAGTGGGCGAAAATATCTTGAGCTTGAAAAAAACAAAGAAGAGTCATCAAACCCAATTGGGTGAGTTTTTAGTTCAAAATGAAAACCTGACCGAAATTTTGTTTGAAACGAAGAATTGGACAAAACGTCGAGAAGCGGAATCCCCGCGTCGAGGAAAATGTTTTGAAGCAAGTGAAAATATTTTGGGCTTGAAGAAACAAGAAAGGAGAACCCTCAAACACGTTTGGGCAAATTTCTCGTTCAAAATAAAAAACCTGGCCACGACTTTGTTTAAAACATAGAATTGGGTGAAATTTTGAGAAATGAAGCAATCAAGTCCTGGGAAAATGTCGAAGTTTGACAGTCAAAACAGAGGTACTCCTGGTCAGTCAGAAGACCTACAGCCTGTGCTGGATGGGGTTGCACTCCCCCGAAGACACAGGTTCGCAACTTGGGCGTGATCCTGGATGCATTGCTGAGCCTGGAACCCCAGGTCTCGGCGGTGGCCAGGGGAGTTTTCGCACAATTAAAACGTGTGTGCCACTTGTATCCTTACTTTGAGAAGCCAGACTTGGCCACGGTGGTCCATGCACTGGTTGCATCCCGAATAGACTACTGCAACGCACTCTACATGGGGTTGCCTTTGAAGACTGTTCAGAAGTTCCAAATAGTCAATGGGCGGCAGCAAGGCTGCTCACCAGAGCAACATACAGGGAGCAACAACCCCCTGTTGCGTCAGCTCCACTGGCTGCCAGTTTGCTACCGAGCACAATTCAAAGTGCTGGCTTTAGCCTATAAAGCCCTAAACCAGATGTTTTTGGCCTACAGCTCCCAGAAACCCTAGCCAGTTTACCAGCTGCTAGGATTTCTGGGAGTTGAAGGCCAAAAAACATCTGGGGACCCCAGGTTGAGAACCACTGCCCTAAACATTTCTGACCCAGGTTACCTGTCGGAACATATCTCTCCCTATGAACCAGTTAGATCGTTGAGATCTTCCGGGGGGGGGGGGGGGGGGGGGGGGAGTCCTGCTCTCAATCCCACCTCCTTCGCAGGCACAATTGGTGGGGATGAGAGACAGGACCCTCTTGGTGATGGCCCCTCAGCTATGGAACTCCCTCTCCGATGACATTAGACTGGCCTCCCTCCATCTTGGTTTTCAGGAAAAGAGTTAAGACCTGTCTTTGGGCACAGGCATTTGGGGAATAGAATTGATTTGAATGCTGCAGCATGAGGATAACCACAGATTTAGGGATATGGTTTTAATGGTTTTACTGTATTTATATGTTTATTTGTTGTTGTTTTAACGTGTTATATTTTAGACACTATGTATGTTCAATGTGCACTGAAATGGTCAACTGTAAGGCACTTTGAGTGCCCTTCAGAGTGAGAAGAGCAGGGTACAAATATAGGAAATCAATCAATCAATAAATGAGAACGAAGAGCCATCAAGCACGTTTGGGTGAATTTTTCATTCAGAGTGAAAACCTGGCTGAAATTTGGATTAAATGAAGGATTGGATGAAATTTTAAGAAATGGGAGACCCATGTTGGGAAATGTGTGTCGAAGCAAGCAAAAATATTTTGAACTCTGAAGAAAAGAAAAAAAAAAGAGCTGTCCATCACATTTGGGCATGTATTTTTCTGTTCTAAATCTAAAAGAAGCATCCAACACATTTGGGCGAAATGTTCATTCAAAATGAAGAACTGGCCGAAATGTTGAGAAACAATGAAATTTTCATTCAAATGTTTTCGTTCAAAACACAAAACGGCCTGAAATTTTGAGAAACAGAACAATCAGATTGGGGGAAGTGGGCCAAAACGAGCAAAAATATATTTGGAACTCAAAGACTTCTTCTAAACGATACCCAAGGAGTACTTTTCCATGCCTTTGCTATATGAATGTATAGGTCTGTGCCCTTTATTGTAAGAGTATGGCTTTATTCATTCTCCCGTTTCCACACTTGCTTTGCTATTCGTTCGCGGCTCCCGTTTGCCTTCCTTGTTGTAGACAGGTTCATTTAGAGTCAGATCCCATTCCTCCTCAGTTTAAGTATATTTTTATTTTGTGGCTTCTGTGGACACACTGTGGCAAACTGGTGCCACAAAAACCCAGCCTTTTCCCACCATCCATCTAGTGTTGATGCTGCTTGAAAGCTTGCTGCTAGACAGAGGAGGACAAGGAAGGCTTTGCATAACCTTCTTTGTTAAAGGCTGTGTTCAGTGGATTGCTTGTCCCCATGTTTCTTTCTGGGACCTTGTGAAAACCTGTGTTTGAAATGCCCCAAGTGTGCCCTGGTTGGCGGTGGGCAAATGGAGAGTAAATCATGTCATAGGTTTTTTTAAGTGTGAGAACCTTTACAGGGGCCTAAATAGTTCATTCTGAAACTCTGACATTCTAGGGTTCCTGCCCTCGTGGCAAATCTTGGAATTAGTCATTTGGGGCAAGCAAAACTCTAAACCTGGTGATGTTCGTCTCTCCAAACAGGTGTATCCACCCAACTCAGGTGATGAATATAACAGGGAGACAGCCGGCTATGCTCCTTCCAAAGCCCCCAGCACGGTCTACCCAGGAGCCTTCTACATGCCAGGTACGTTACCTGTCCCCTGGTTGCCTGTTCTCAGTTAGGTCACCTGTCCCCAGTTAGGTTACCTTTCCCCAATTAAGTTACCTGTCCCCAGTTAGGTCACCTGACTACATGTTACCTGTCCTCAGTTAGGTTACCTGTCCTCAAATAGGTTACCTATCCCCAGTTGGGTCACATGTCCCCAGTTAAGTTACCTGTTCACAGGTTACCTGTTCTCAGTTAAGTTACCTGTCCTCAAGTAGGTTACCTGTCCACAGTTAGGTTACCTATCCCTAGTTAGGTTAGCTGTCCTCAAGTAGGTCACCTGTCCACAGTTAGGTTACCTATCCCTAGTTAGGTTAGCTGTCCTCAAATAGGTTACCTGTCCACAGTTAGGTTACCTATCCCTAGTTAGGTTAGCTGTCCTCAACTACCTGTCCCCAGTTGGGTCACATTTGCCCAGTTAAGTTACCTGTTCTCAGTTAGGTTACTTGTTCTCAAGTAGGTTAACTGTCCACAGTTAGGTTACCTATCCCTAGTTAGGTTAGCTGTCCTCAAGTAGATTACCTGTCCCCAGTTGGGTCACATGTCCCCAGTTAAGTTACCTGTTCACAGTTAGGTTACCTGTTCTCAGGTTACTTGTCCTCAAGTAGGTTACCAGTCCACAGTTAGGTTACCTATCCCTAGTTAGGTTAGCTGTCCTCAAGTAGGTTACCTGTCCCCAGTTGGGTCATGTGTGCCCAGTTAAGTTTCCTGTTCTCAGTTAGGTTACCTGTTCTCAGTTAGGTTACTTGTCCTCAAGTAGGTTACCTGTCCCTAGTTAAGTTAGCTGTCCCCAGTTAGGTCACTTGTCCTCCACTAGGTTACCTGTCCTCAGCTGGGTTACCTGCCCCTAGTTATGTTAACTGTTGTCATGTAGGTTACCTGTCCTTAGTTAGGCTACCTGTCTGTCCTTAATTATGTTATATGTCGTCATGTTCACTATGCTTCTCTTCTTTGTGATACATTAATATTAGGGTCTCCTTATTATTATTATTATTTGTACCTGTCAGTTTTTGTTTTGTGGGAGTTCCTTTATCTCTGTTAAAGTGCTGTGCCTTACTACTACCTATATTTGGGTCTCAATGATTTTCTCCAACGACTGCAGGTTCAAGATGGGACCCTCCCTCCCAAAAACCTACCGCAAAGGAGTGTGTGTGTGTGTGTGTGTATAAACACACACACACACACACGAGATACACACACACACACATATGTGTGTGTATGTGTGTATGCCCAGGTTAGATCTGGTGCACTGATATTTATTAGAAGTAGTCATTGTGTGTTTCTGGAAGTTATGAATGATCCCATTAGAAGATGCATAAAGATATGGGTGAACTACAACTCTTGTCATCGCCCCCAGATTGCACCAGCATCTAAAGTTGGTCATGATGTGTCTGTATTCCAGGTTTGGCCCAAATCTGTCATTGGTGGGAGTCACAGTGCTCCCGAGATGTGATGAAATACAACTCCCATTGTCCCGAGTCAATCTTTCCAAACCCCATCAGTACTTAAAGTTGGTCATGATGGGTCTGTGTGTCAAATTTGATCCAGATCCAATTGTGTTTGGGTCAGAGTGGGGTTCACACTGCATTTGAGATTCAGAGTGAACGACAACTCCCATAATCTTGGGTCAATTTCCCCCGCCCCCAATTCCTCCAATATTTTATGTTGGTCATGATGGGTCTGTGTGCCAAGTGTGTTTCTGATCCAATGTTGTTTGGATCAGATCCATTGCCTGCAGGGTTCACCTCACTCTCAGGATTCAGGGCAAACTACAACTCCCATCATCCTGGATCAATCCCAATTCCCTCCCCCCAACCCCTCCAATATTTTATTTTGGTCATGATCGGTCTGTGTCTCCAATGTGATCCAGATCCAGCAGTGTTTGGGCAAGAGCAGAGTTCACAGTACATTCGAGATGCAGGGTGAACTACAACTCCCATCATCCTGGATAAATCCTAATTTCCCCCCAACGCCTCCAATATTTAATATTGGTCATGATGGATCTGTGTGGTCCTGATCCAATGCTTGGTTCGGATCCATTGCTGGTGGGATTCACCTTGCTCTCAGGATTCAGAGCGAACTACAACTCACATCATCCTGGGTCATACCCCCCCCCCCCAAAGACTTCTAATTCCATGAAAAAGAATGACGTCCATCCAGGTCTCTCATTGGGCCTCTGCTCCTGTGCCTTGCAGATGGGATCCACAACTCAGCCGATCTGTGGAGCTCCTCGGGGACCATGGGGCAGTCCAACTATGGGGTCATCTTGGGTGCTTCTTCCTCCCCACTGCCTCAGTCGGGCAACTTCAGCGGCCTCCACCAGCACGACCGCATGGTAAGGACAGGCACTCGGGTCCCCTTGTTTTGACCGGACCCAAATCCATGTTCTTCACAGAACCGGATAATTCACTCTTATCTGTTTGGGGGAGGGGGGGGTACGTCCCCAGACTTTGCGGAGATCTACACAACCACGAATAGCTGCATACTCTATTGAAACACAGGACCTCAGGCATTAGGATAACGTAAAGACCAGGGGTCCTCAAACTTTAAGCCAAAGACCAGTTTGTGATCCCCCAGACTGTTGGAGGAGATGGACTATAGTTTGAAAAAAAAAGACACAAAGGCGTACTATGCTCACCGGATATATTTATTGTATGGGGGGAAAAATGAAAGAACAATGGTGGTCAACATAAACCTACCAGTATTTAAATGGGAAGTGTGGGCCTGCTTTTGACTGATGAGAGAGTCATATTCATTATGATTGTTGTTGAAGTTGAGTACCTTCAAGGCATTTCCCTTCCTTCCTTCCTTCCTTTTCTCCCTCTCTTGTTCCCTCTTTTTCCTTCCTTCCTTCCTTTCTTTCTCTCTCTCTCTTTTCCTGTGGCCCTCCCTCCTTCCCTCTTCTTTCTTTCTTTCTCTCTCCCTCTCTTCCTTCCTGAGTTCCTCCCGCCTCCCCTTTCAGTCTTCCTCCCTTTCTACCTTTTCTCCCTCCCTCCTTCTCTCTCTCTCTTTCTTTTTTTCTTTCTTTCTTTCTTTCTTTCCTTTCTTTCCCTTTTCTCTTCCTCTTCCTCTTTTTCCTTTCTTTCTTTTCTTTCTTTCTTCCCTTCCTTCCTTTTCTCCCTCTCTCCTTCCCTCTTTCTTTCTTTTTTCTTTTACTGCCTCCTTCCCTTTCTTCTTCGTTTTCTTCTTTTTCTCCCTCCCTCCTTCCCTCTTTTCTTTCTCTCCCTCTCTGTGTTCCTGTCTTCCTCCCTATTTCTCTTCCCTTCTTTCTTCCTCCCTCCTTCCCTTTTTCCTTTCTTTTTTTCTTTCCTTCCTTTTCTTCCCTCCTTTTCTCCCTTTCTCCTTCCCCCTTTTCCCTTTCTTTCTTTCTATCTTTCTTCCTGTGTTCTTCCTTGCTTTCTCCCCCTTCCCTCTTTTTCCTTTCTTTTCTTTTTCTCTCTCTTTCTTCCTGTGTTCCTCTCTCCTTCTTCCTCCATTTCTTCCTTTTCTCCCTCCCTCCTTCCCTTTTCCCTTTTTTCTTCCCTTCCTTTTCTCCTTCCCTCTTTTCCCTTTCTTTCTCTCTCTCCCTCCCTCCCTCTCTTGCTTCCTGTGGTCCTCCCTTCTTCCCTTTCTTCCTCTCTTTCTTCCTTTCTCCTTCTCTTCTCTCCCTTTTCCCTCTCTTCTTTTTCTCTTTCCCTAATTCCTCCTCTTTTTTCCTCCCTTCCTTCCTTTCTCCCTTCATCCCTCACTCCTTCCCTCTCTCTTTTTCCTTTTCTTTCTCCTTCCTTCCTTCCTTCCTTTCCATTTTATGCAGGCCGACTTAGATAAATATACATATCAGATATATTTCAGGTAGCTATAGATAAAATTAAGTAGGTTAATAGATGTATCGTGTACATGCAGTATATTTAAATTAGCTAAAGTTCAGTTAAATTTATGCATAACAGATATATTTCAGTTAGATATAGATAAATTTCTTCCCTGAGTTGATGAACCTGCTGACCGAAAGGTCGGCAGTTCAAATCCAGGGAGTGGGTGAGCTCCCGCTGTTAGCCCCAGCTTCTGCCAACCTAGCAGTTCGAAAACATGCAAGTTTGAGTAGATCAATAGGTACCGCTCCTGCGGCAAGGTAACGGCGCTCCATACAATCATACAACCAGCTCTTTGGCTTAGAAATGGAGATGAGCACCACCCCGCAGAGTTGAACACGACTAGACGTAATGTCAAGGGGAAAGATATATCTCGCGCATCCATCCTCTTAACCCTCTTGTGTCTCTTGGGCCCCTTTCCAGAATTACCAGCTCCATTCAGGAGAGGTCAATGGTGGACTGCCGTCGGTGTCGGGCTTTTCTTCTACTTCCACCCAATTCGGGGTCTCCAGCCACACGCCGCCCATCGGAGGGACAGAGACCGCCGTGATGGGTGCGTATTCAAACTACAGCTCTCATAATCCTAGGTTAATACCTTCCCAAAAATCCCTGCAAGTATGTAAAGTTGGTCAATCATTCTTTGGGTTCATAGTGCACTCTGGATGTAGGAGAACTACAACTCCTATAAACCCCTCCAAATACTTCCACTATGTTTTGTTGGTCATGGGGGTTCTGTGTGACAAATTAGTTCCAGGTCCATCGTTGATGGAGTTCAGAGTGCTCTTAGATTGCAAGTGAACTATACATCCCAGGACCTACAACTCTTATAAATCATGGTGAATTCTCCCCAAACCTCTCTAGTATGTTCAGTTGCTGATCAATTCCTCTGTTTGCTGTGTGCCACAGAAGAGAACATGAAAGGGTTATAGGAGAGGCAGTGGGTAGGGTCATGGAAATTCGACACCCATGGAGAGAGTCAGAAACACTGGGATGTGTGTACAAAATGCATAAGGTTGTGGATGAACTACACCTCACGTCATGCCAGGTTAACCCTCAGAAACTCCATCAGGACTGAAAGTTGGTTATGTTGGGCAAGTTTGCTCTAGATGCATCATTGGTGGTGTTCGGTGTGGTCTCTGGCTGTAGGGTGAACTACAACTCCCACTATGGTGAGTCAATCCCCTCAAACCCCTCCAGTAGATTGAGTTAGTCCTGGGAGTTCTGTGTGCCAAGTTTGGTCCAGGTCCATCCTTGGTGGAGGTCACCATTTCTCTGGTTATGGGTGAACTACAACTCCCAGAAAGGAAGGCCAGTTCCCCCCAACCCCCCCCCCCCCAGTAATCAAATTTCAGCATGTCAAGTATGCATGCCAAGTTTGGTTCAGATCCATCAGTGTTTGGCTTCACAGTGCTCTCTGGATGTAGGTGAACTACAACTCCCCCAAATCAAGGTGAATTTCCCCCAAAATTCTCCAGTTTTCTTTGCAGGTCATGGGGGCTCCCTGTGCCAAGCTTGGTCCAGTTACATCTTTGGTGGAGTTCAGAGTGCTCTTTGATTGCAGATGAACTATAAATCCCAGTACCTACAATTCCCAAATTCCAGGCCAATTCCCCACAAAACACACCAGTGTCAGGTATGCATACCAAGTTTGGTCCAGATCCATCATTGTTTGGGTTCCTAGTACTCTCTGGATGTAGGTGAACTACAATTCGGATAAATCCCTCCAAAAACCTCCAGTATTTTTTTTTTTGGTCATAGGGGTTCTGTGTGCTAAGTTAGTGCCAGGTCCATTGCTGGTGTTCAGGGTGCTCTTAGATTGCAGGTGAACTATATATCCCAGTACCTACAACTCCTATAAATCATGGTGAATTCTCCCCAAACATCACTAGTATGCTCAGTTGCTGATCAATTCCTCTGTTTGCTGTGTGCCATAGAAAAGAATAAGAAAGTGTTGAGGGAGAGGCAGTGGGCAGGGTCATGCAAATTCCACACCAATGGAGAGAGTCAGAAACACTGAGATGACTGTGATGGAGGAAACACATACAATCTAGGATTTAATTGACCCCATATGAAAGCCTTCACTTGGGTGGTGGACAGTATGGTGTTTGTGGAGGACATTGGCAGGGCTCTTGGACATGTTTACAGTGCTCTCTATAACCTGCAATGTGATTGGAGGGAGGGCTATTGGTGTCTCCTGAATAGCTATAGCTGTTTGTGAAGGCAGGAGCTTTCTTGTGTAAATGGACACTCCAGCCACACACACACACACCTATTTTCACTTTAGTTATGTGTCTAGATTGCCTCACTTTCTTCTCTTTATTGAGACCCAAAGTGCCATTGATTGTCGCCACCTAATGCCAATGCTTTATTATTATTATTATTATTATTATTATTATTATTATTATTATTATTACCCTGCTTTCTTAGGGTGAAACAGGAGCCAATCTTGGCCTCGGTGGGTCAAAGAGGGGCTGGGATTCGGGAGCAAATAGTCGTGACATGCTGGTCTCTCTCTATATATAAATAGTCGTGAAAATCCCCTCCATCGTCATCCTCCTCCCCTCTTTTCCGCTGCAAGTAGGTTAATCCCGGAAAGGAAGGAAGGAAAGAAGGGGGGCGGAGACAGAGGACTCTGTTGACTTTGCCTTCCTTCCTTCGAGGCATCCGTTCCTGGCTTCTATTGGAAACACCTTAAAGAAATAGGGACTTTTTTGAGGGGAGGTGTGTCTCAGTTGGGGTTTGGTCCCAGGGACCCCCAGGTGGCATTAAATGGCAACACACACACACTGTGTGTGTGTGTGTGTGTGCGGTAAAGGTTTGCTCTTGGGGGTTGTAGAAAGCATTTCCAATCTCATGTCTGCTGAATTGGATGGTATAAACTCATTCATAATGGTCTAAACACTCTTTCAGAGAGGAAAAGGAAGTTGCCTATTATTATTCATATTATTTTAGAGAGAAATAATAATAATAATAATAATAATAATAATAATAATAATAATAATCTTTATTTATACCCCGCTACCATCTCCCCAAGGGACTCGTTGCGGCTTACATGAGGCCGAGCCCACAATACATCAATAACAAAAGCAATAACAAAAACAGTCAATACAATACAATTAATATAAATCACAAACAATAAACAGTAAACACACAAGCATTTAAAAACCTATGGCCGGGCCAAATGTACTATTTTTATTGTAGAGAGGATAAGCAGGATACCTATTATTATTATTGTCATCATAATTGTCGTCACTATTATTCTTCTAGAGCGAAAAAGCAGGCTACAAGTAATAATAATCATCATATTTTACATGAAAAAGCAAGCTGCAAATTATTACTTGTAGCCTGCTTTTTCGCTCTAGAATAATAATAATGACAACAATTATGGTGACAATAATAATAGGTATCCTGCTTTTCCTCTCTACAATAAAAGTAGTAACAATGATAATAATAATACTGATAATAATATGTATCCTGCTTTTCTCTCTTTGAAAACCCTATACCAGTTACCTTGTTCATGCCCAGCGTTATTTTAGAGAGAAAAACAGGATACAAATAACAAGAATAATATATGTTATTATTATAGAGGGAACATATAATGAACGTTATTAAAAACTAACAATAATAATAATAAACGTTATTTCTATTCGAGGCGTGATGACGTTTTGTGTATTGTTTGTGGTTGTTTGTCATATATATTGTTCAATGTTGCACATTTTACTGTAAACCGCTTAGAGTCGCCGTTGGCTGATATTTGCGGTATACAAAAGGAGTAAATAAATAAATAAATAAATAATAATAAGAACCAATAATAATAATAATAATAATACAGTCCTAGACGCTTGGGAAGTGTTCGACTTGTGATTTTTGATACGAAATCCAGCATATAGATCTTGTTTGCTGTGATGTACTGTGCTTTTGTGTCAGTAAAATAATAATAATAACACATGTTACTATTCTAGAAAGAAAAGGCAAGATACAAATTATTATTTTAGAAAAAGCAGGATAATAATAATAATAACAACAACAACAATAAATGTTTTTATCAGAGAGAATAATTATTAATTATTATAGAGAAAGTAAATTATTAATTATTATTATTATTATTATAGAGAAAGCTGGATACAGATTATTTCTATTATTATTATTATTATTATTATTATTATTATTATTATTAACTTGCTTGGGTCCCTGGCATTGCCTGGGTTATTTGAAAAAGTCAAATTTTCAATTCTCCAAAATGCATAAGGTTGTGGGTGAACTACAACTCACATCATGCCAGGTTCACCCCGAGAAACTCTCATCAGTATTTAAAGTTTGTTATGTTGGGCAACTTTGCTCCACATGCATCATGGGTGGTGTTCAGTATGCTCTGGCTGAAGGGTAAACTACAACTCCCACTGTGATGAGTCAGTCCCCTCACATCCCTCTAGTAGGTTGAGCCAGTCATGGGGGCTCTGTGTGCCAGGTTTAGTCCATATCCATCGGTGTTTGGTTTCACAGTGTTCTCTGTATGTAGGTGAACTACAACTCCCCCAAATCAAGGTGATTCTCCGCCAAAGACCTCCAGCATTTTTTTTGCTAGTCATGGAGGCTCTGTGCCAAGTTTTGTCCAATTCCATCTTTGGGTGGAGTTCAGAGTGCTCATTGATTGCAGGTGAACTACAAATCCTAGTACCTATAACGGGTATAAATCATGGTGAATTCCCCCCCAAATACTGAATTGACCAGTACTTTTCTTAGGTCATGGGGCTTCTGTGTACCAAAAGTGGTCCATGTCCATTGTCAGTGGGGGTCACAATGCTCTGACTTGATGCAGGGTGAACTACAACTTCCATCATGTGGAGCCAATCCCCCAAACTCCTGCAGTATGTTTAGTTGCTGATCAGTTCTGCTCTGTTTGTTGTGCAGAGTTGAAAAGAGTAGGAAAGGTTTATAGCTGTTTGTGGAAGTGGGAGCCTGTCTGTGGAAGTTGGCACCCCTGCCATATACACACACACATATATTTTTCACTTTTATTGTGTGTATAAATAGATTACTTTAGGGAGGAAAAGCAGGGTTCAGATAATAACAGTTATTATTAATATAATTTGATTCATAACAAGATTCGTACACAGCAAACAAGATCACTCTGCTGGTTTTTGTATTGGATCACACATTGGACACTTCCCAAGTGTGTGATGTATTGGCGAATAATGCGTGCAGATTCAAGTAGGGTGGCCTTTTGCAGCTGAAATAATAATTTTGTCAGTGCCAATATTTTTAAGTGCAGGCCAAGGTCCTTAGGCACTGCACCCAGTGTGCCAATCACCATATTATTATTATTATTATTATTATTATTATTATTATTATTATTATTATTATTATAGAATCATAGAATCAAAGAGTTGGAAGAGACCTCATGGGCCATCCAGTCCAACCCCCTGCCAAGAAGCAGGAATATTGCATTCAAATCACCCCTGACAGATGGCCATCCAGCCCCTGTTTAAAAGCTTCCAAAGAAGGAGCCTCCACCACACTCCGGGGCAGAGAGTTCCACTGCTGAACGGCTCTCACACAGTCAGGAAGTTCTTCCTCATGTTCAGATGGAATCTCCTTTCTTGTATTAGTAGTAGCAGTATCAGTAGCAGTAGTAGTAGTAGCTCACTTTTTCTCCCTTTTTCTCCCTTAAATGAAAAGAGGCGCAAAACAGCTCATGGTAAAAACCAATACAGTGCAATTTAAAAACCAAAAAACATTAAAATTAGAAATAGACATGAACATGATTCAAAACCAACAGCATTCCAACCGGGATGCCTCTCCACTGATGTCGTTTGCCATGACTTGAATGTGATGCTATGGAGTCCTGGGAATTATAGCTCTCTTTCTTTCCATGAACCTGCAAATGTCTACGAGGCTAGGTGATCTGGCCACCTGTCCAGATGGTTTTGATGGTGTCCTCCTTTACGGCAGAAGGGGATGGACTGGATGGCCTTTGGGGGTCCCTTCCAACTCTCTGATCTTGCCTCCTCCTCCTCCTCCTCCAGGTAACCGTGCAACTTCGGCCGGCAGTTCAGGGGATGCCCTCGGAAAAGCCTTGGCTTCGGTAAGATTGATATACTACAATACAATGAGAGGCGTCATTAATTGAGTGTCCCCCCTCTCCCTCTGTTAATGACACTTTCCACGTTTTTTAGATCTACTCCCCAGATCACTCCAGCAATAACTTCTCTTCAAACCCATCCACACCGGTGGGCTCCCCTCAGGGAATCACAGGTAAGTCTTCATAATGATAATCTATATAAATAAAAAATGTAATGTTCGTTTGTGGGATTGACATAACTCAAAAACCACTGGATGAATTGACATCAAATTTGGACACAGTACACCGATCAGGTCAACAAGTGACCATCACTCATAAAACACTGGAAAACAGCAGAAGAGACTTAAAAAGCAAAAAAAAAAAAAATTACAACGCATGCGGCCAACCACATATATACACATACATACACACAAGACACATATACACAAACTGATCCACAGCAACGCATGGCAGGGGGTGGCTAATAATGATAATAATACTCTGGCCAATCCTTAGGGTCATGCCAAGACTTTATTTAGGTTCCTCTTCCTAATATTAATGGCAGAAACATACAGGAAGAGTTGAGATTTGTGAGATATTGGTGCCATCTAGTGTTGAGTGGAGGGGTTGCACCCGGTCCAATTATTTCCTCGCACTTCCTTCCTTAGCGGTGGACTAAATGCATTATAACCCTCAAAGAATGGAGGGCTGAGTTAATATGCCGGAATCTTTATGGCATATTAACTCAGCCCTCATCTTCCTATAGAATTTACCATAAATGTCTAGTATGTATTTCCCCAGTAATGCTGAATTCCAGGACATTATTTGAAACCTGCTTCATTTCTAGGGAGGTGATTTGAAGTGTTAAATATATCAATCATATATTGTAATATAATATCAATCATATATCATTGATTAATATTATATTACAATATAATATCAATTAATGGCGGGGACGAGAGACAGGGCCTTCTCAGTGGTGGTCCCTCGGCTGTGGAACGCCCTGCCTGCAGATATCAGATTGGCCCCTTCCCTGCTGGCGTTTCGGAGGAAAGTGAAGACCTGGCTGTTCGAACAAGCATTTGATTAAACAGTGTAATTGAACATAGGAATACGGAATAATGGATGACGAGACTGGATTCTGATTTTACTGTTGAGGCACTAATTATTGTTATACTGATGTTAATGATTTATATGATAATTGTTTTTAATTGCCCTATACTTGTTTTGTGATATTTTGTACTGATGTTGTTCACCGCTTTGAGTCGCCTGAGGGCTGAGAAAAGCGGTATAGAAATAAAGTAAATAAAATAAATAAATAAATAAATCATTGATAATATATTATTGATATTATAATATAGTATTGATATGTTATAATGTATAATAATACGTTATAATATATAATATCAGTAATATAATATTAATGAAATATTATATCAGTGTTTCTCAACCTGTGGGTCTCCAAGTGTTTTGGCCTACAACTCCCAGAAATTCCAGCCAGTTTACCAGCTGTTAGGATTTCTGGGAGCTGAAGGCCAAAACATCTGGGGACCCACAGGTTGAGATCCACTGTATTAGAGTATATAATATAATATCAATAATATATTCTAGTATGCAATAAAATATCAACAATATAATAGATAATATAATATCTATATTATTTTATAACATATTATTGATATATTATATTATATTATTGATATTATAGTATATATCAGGGGTCCTCCAAGGTCATTTATCCGGCCCCCGCTCAGGGTCAACCTAAGTCTGTAACAACTTGAAAGTACACAACACAACAACAATCCTATCTCATCAGCCGAAAGCAGGCCCACACTTCCCATTGAACCCATTGAAATATTAATAAATTTATATTTGTTAAAATTTTCTTCATTTTAATTATTGCATTGTTTTTAAGCGGTTTTTGCACTACAAATAAGATATGTGCAGTGTGCATAGAAATTCATGCATTTTTTTTTTCAAATTATAATCCGGCCCTCCAACAGTTTGAGGGACTGTGACCTGGCCCTCTGTTTAAAAAGTTTGAGGACTCCTGGTATATATTCTATCTATCTATATTATATATTATATCTGTCTATAAAAAAAGGCTCTTTGTTTTTAGGACAAAGTAAACAAAACCACTGGACTAAATGTCACCAAATTTGGCCACAAAACACATACTAATCCAGTCTATGTCTTTCAATAAAGAAAAACCTTTAAAAATCAGCAGAAATAACTTTAACACCCCCCCCCCCAAACCATGTGCAAATCCCCCCCCCCACATGCACTGAGAAGAAAAACACATCAGTAAAGAATAACTCCAGAGGCCCACTGGGATCGGATTCAACTACATTTCCCAGAGGACCATGCGGGCGTGCTGGAGAGAGAGCTGCACACACAGGCTAACCCGCCTTTTTGTTGACATAGGCGTGGTGGATGGGGTTTGCTGCCGGCAGCCGTTGAGAGCCGCTCAAGAGCCTGGCTTCTTCCTGCCTACGGAAATCTTTGTAGGGAGGTGTTCCCTAGGCCAGATTGTTTCATGTCTGGAATTCCTGTTTTCGGAGGGCCACAGCAAAGCATGGCCGGGGTACAGCTAGTTATAATATATAATACAATATCAATAATATAATATAATATCAATAATATATTATCATTGAATAACTAGAGCAAAACATAAACAAAGTTTTGGCAGTTTAATAAACTTTCCCCATGTTTTGATGATAGAACCAATTAGGAAATGATGTTTATAACCCAGTAATAAAAATCCTGTTACATGCAAGACCCAGCGTGTCTGTTCTGGTTTTCCTGTCTGGATTGGTGTTCCGTATGAGGAAAGAGGTGTCATCAAAGTGGGATTTGAACCCAAAGCTCCCTCTTTCTCTCTTTTCCCAGGTTCTTCGCAGTGGCCCCGGGCGGCTGGGCAGGGTGCCTTGTCCCCGAGTTACGAAGGGACCCTCCACACATTGGTAAGTCCCCCTCCTCTAGTTCTCTGCTTGTTTTTTCCAGAATACAGAGTGTAGACGACTTCTTGTGTGTATGTCCACCTTAGATGCTGCTGTGGAGTTTTATTGCAGAACAAAAGCATAAAGTCATTAATTTATTTACAGTATTTATATTCTGCCCCTCTCACCCCAAAGAGGACTCAGAGCGGATCACAGAACACATATACGGCAAACATTCAATGCCGTTATACACTGACAAGACAGGCAACTGTACTTAGATAGGGGTATACATAGGCTTTCCCATCTTCGGCATCTTAGAGGCTGTGCTCAGTTTTGGCCACGGGGGGGCGGGGGGAGGGGTGCTGTCACTCCACTTTCCCTGCCAAAGAGCTTTCTTTGTAAACTTCCACCTTTGATCAAATCACAGGCATTTTTCTGGCATTTCCTTTCGGGTGCCTTAAATACCTTCCCACTTAAGCAGTACTTATTTATCTGCTTCGAACTGTCAACTTTTCGATTGGCAAGATTTTACTGCAGCTGGCAGTTAACCTGCTATACTTAAGCCTGGCCCTAGAGTCATAGAATCCAAGAGTTGGAAGGGACCCCCCGAAGGCCACCCAGTCCGACACCATTCTGCCATGCAGAAAGACAAACCCAATCCTTCCTGACAGATTGCCGCCCAGCCCCATAGACATTAGCAGGTTTGTGGAAAGAAATAGGGTTGTAGAGTCCCAGAGTTGGAAAAGACCTCCCTCCCCCCCCAAAAAAAAACCCCTCCTCTGTCATAAAGGAAAACACCATCAGATCCCTCATGACAGGTGGCCATCTGGCCTCATATATATTAGCAGGTTAATCGTAGTATAATTTATATACTCAGGGCGGATTACAAAACACATATATGGCAAACATTCAGTGCCATTATACAATTAACAAAGACAGACAGTACATAGAGGTATAGGCTTTCCCCATCCTTTTCCCTCTCTGGCATCTGGAGGCTGTGCTCAACTCCAGCTACAGGGAGGTGCTGTCGTTCCATCTTCCATTCCGAGGAGCTTTTGTTGTCCATAGACAACCTCCAGATCAAATAGCCAGGATATCATTATGGACACTTTTTATTACCTCCCTGCTTTAAAGCAGTACCTATTTATCTAGCCACATTACTGTTTTCGATCTGCTAGGTGAGCAGAAGCTGGGCTGACGGCTAGGAACTCACCCCAACCCGGACTGGAAGGAAAAGGTTGGGCTGGATGGCCTTTTGGCGTCTCTTCCAACCCTAGGATTCTATGGCCCAGAGGCCAACGCGTGGAAGACGGTGGAATATTCTCATTCTCTCCCTCTCTTTTTGTGACAGCAAAACAAGATGGAGGACCACCTGGACGAGGCCATCCATGTGCTGCGGAGCCATGCCGTGGGCCAAGGGAACAACCGTGAGATCCACGACCTGCTGGCCTCCGCCTCGGCGCACAGCACTTCGGTTGGGAGCCTCAGCCAGTCCTTCCCTTCGGCCTCCGTTCTGCCCCTTGCCGGCCGGCACTCGAACCTGGTATGATGGGGCAGGGCGGGATCAGACTTATTGTGACCACACATGGTCCTATTTCTCCATGAAGCTGTGAATGACTTGTGCGGCTGGGTGGCTGTCTGTCGGGACCTCCTTCCCCCAGAGCAAAAAGCCAAGCGGGAGAAAGAGAGGCTGGTGGCCAATAACGCCCACGAGCGCCTGTGCGTCTGTGACATCAACAAGACCTTTAATGAGCTCGTGCGCATGTGCCAGCTGCACAAGTTCTGGTGGTGAAAATTTCAGAACTCTAACAAAACTCTCAAAATTTAATTATAAATAATAATAATACTTTATTTATACCCCGCTACCATCTCCCCAAGGGACTCGGTGCGGCTTACATGAGGCCGAGCCTGCAATACAAACAATACAAGAAATACAACCAAAAACAAGTACAATACAAAGCAGTTAAAAATGGGAGTTCCTCATTGGTGATGTCATAAAAATCACCAATAATAAAATAATAATTAATTTTTAAAAGTTTTATTAGAGTTCTGAAATTTTCACCACCAGAACTTTCGTTTTGTAAGTACTTTAGGACCATTTAGGACCATGGATTGCCCAGGCCTAGTGAAAAACCGCAGACCAAACTGCTAATCCTACACCAGGCCGTCTCGGTCAATCTCAATTGTCATGGGGATTCTGTGTGACAAGTTAGTCCTTCATTGGTGGAGTACAGAGTGTTCTTAGATTGCAGGTGAACTATACATCCCAGTACCTACAACTCCAAAATGTCCAGGCCAATTCCACACCAGTGGAGAGAGCCAGAAACACTGGGGTGCCTTTGGTGGGGGAAACCCATAAAATCAAGGATGAAATTGTCCCCGGATGAAAGCATTCCTTGGGTGGTGGGCAGTATAGTGTTTGTGGCGGAAATTGGTGAGGGCTCATGTACATGTTCATGGCGCTCACTACAACCTGCAGTGTCATTGGAGGGAGGGCCATTTATGTCTCCTGAGTAGTAAAGTCCATCCATCCCACGGAGCCGCCTTCCAAGCACTTTCCTTTTCTCATTGCAGGTTGGAGGTGGCCACCCGGACGATGCCCTCCCGAACAACTCCAGCCTTCTCCACAACCACGTTGCGCTCCCTGCCCAGGCGGGTTCACTCCCAGACCTCAGTCGAGGCCAGTCTTCGGACGCCTTCAGCGGTAAGCTTTGTTCAGCCGAGGCCTGACCATATTGCCCGCCTTAGTAGCAAAATTGGAATCCAGAGCCCTCTGTGAAGAAAGTCCGACAACATACTGTGTATAGAATGACCTGTGGGCTCTAAGGCATACCCAAATTGTAAAGGAAAGTTTCTAGAGAAGGTGGTGGCCTCACATCTTCAAGGGTTCTTGGATGAAACCATTTATCTGGATCCATCTCAGTCTGGTTTCAGGCCTGGCCATGGGACAGATATGGCATTAATCGTCTTGGTGGATGATCTACAAAGAGAGCTAGACAGGGATAGTATGTCAATGCTTGTTCTCCTGGACCTCTCAGCAGCTTTCAATACCATCGGCCATGGTATCACTATAACCTGCAATTAGTGTCTCCTGGGTGTTTGTTTGTTTGTTTGTTTACGACATTTCTACCCTGCCTTTCTCACCCTGGAGGGGACTCAAGGCAGCAACAATCTAATGCCTCAAAGCACAATGTAACCTGAAATAAATATTAAAATATAATGTAAAAGTATGTTAAAACAATGGAAAACAATACATTAAGAGTTAAACACGTAATCTGGGCCGTTCCAATGGTCATTGTCCCAAGTCCATCAAATGCACAAGTTCTCTAAAGGCTTCATCACAAAGCCACGTTTTCAGAAGGGAAGGAGCTGATCTAACATCGTTGGGGAGGGAGCTCCACAGTCGAGGGGCCACCACTGAGAAGGCCCTGGCTCTCGTCTCTGCCAATCATGCCTGCGAAGGAGGCAGGACCGAGAGCAGCGCCTCCCCAGATGATCTCAAACTTTTCAGTTGTTCATAGAGGGAGATACATTTGGACAGATAAGCTGGGCCAGAACCTTTTAGAGCTTTATAGCCTAAAGCCTATATGAGTAGTGGGAGCTATAGCTGTTTGTGGAAGTGGGAGCTCGTATATGGGTGGGAGCTATAACTATTTTCGAAGCCAGGAGCTTGTCTGTGTAAGTGGACGCCCCAGCCACATACACACATACATATTAACACTTTTATTATGTGTAGATTATTATTATTATTATTTCAAAGGCTGGATGGCCATCTGTTGGGGATGATTTGACTGTACTGCATGGCAGAATAAAGGGGGCTGGACTCGATGGCCCCTGGGTTCTTCCATTGAAATACTGTTAAATTTTAGATATTGTATTGTATTGTTCTTTCTTTCCTTATTATTTTTTTATTTTACTAGCCGTCGCCTGCCACGCGTTGCTGTGGCCCAGTCTGTGTATATGTGTTTTGTGTGTGTATATATGTATGTGTGTGTATATATATGTGTATATGTGGTTTTGGGCATAAGTTGTAATGTATTTTTTTAATTTTTTGGCTTTTTAAGTCTCTTCCGCTGTGTTTTTCAGTGTTTTTATGAGTGATGGTCACTTATTGGCCGGCCCGGTCCATGCCTGATGTATATACATTATAATGTCAACTAGTTTCAGGGAGGCTATAGTTGAGCCATAGAACAGTGTAAATTTTACCCCAGGTCCTTGCAAAGTTTGAACTAAAAGCCAGAGTGAATCCCCCCACCCACCCGGTAGTAACTCATGCTTCCCTTTGTAGGTCTGACGGCCGGTCTGGGCCGGGCCAGCGTCTCGTCGGGCACCAGTGAGATCAAGCGGGAAGACAAGGAGGACGACGAGAACACGTCAGTGGCAGACAACTCGGAGGAAGAGAAGAAGGAGCTGAAAGGCTCGCGCAACCGAACCAGGTGCTCAGTGAACAGGTCTCCGCTGTTTATCTCTCTCCCCAAAGCATAACGTAGGGCAGCCCCCCCCCCCCCCCCCCCCCCCCCCCCCCGGTCCAAACCATAGATATTAGTAGGATTGCCCCTCATTTCTCTCAGACTAGAATGAAAGAGGACCGGCCTGTTGCAAGCTCCCTTCGTCCTTACACCATATTTTATGTATGTATGTATATATGTATTTACAGTATTTATATTCCACTCTTCTCATTCAATGCCGTTAGATATACAAGACAGACAGACAGATAGAGATATTAAGTTGGCTTCGACATCCTGGAAGTTATGCTCAATTCCGGCCACAGGGGGGTGCTCCATTCTCTGTGACTACAAACCTTTTCCTCATATTCTGGTGACCCCCAAACATAAAATTATTTTCATTGCTACTTCATAACTGTAATTTTGCTACTGTTATGAATTGTAATGTAAATATCTGATATGCAGGCTATATTTTCATTCATTGGACAAAATTTGGCACAAATACCCCATATGCCCAAATTTGAGTATTTCTGGGGTTGGGGGGGATTGATTTTGTCATTTGGGAATTGTGTTTGCTGAGATTTCCATAGGTGAACTTCCATAGTTAACCTATAATCAAAGAGCATTCTGAACTCCACCAATGATAGGATTGAACCAAACTTGGCACACAGAATTCCCATGACCAACAGAAAATTACTGGAAGGGTTTGGTGGGCATTGACCTTGAGGTTGAGAGTTGTAGTTCACCTACATCCAAAGAGCCCTGTGGATCTGGACCAAACTTGGCACAAATACTCAATATGCCCAACTGGTGGAGTTTGGAGAAAATAGACCTTGACATTTAGGAGTTGTAATTCCTGGGATATATAGTTCACTTACAATCAAAGAGCATTCTGAAGCTCACCAACGATATAATTGGGCCAAACTTCCCACACAGAACCCCCATGACCAATAGAAAATACTGTGTTTTCTGATGGTCTTCGACGAGCCCTTTGACACCCCCCCCCCTCGCAACCCCCACAGGGGTCCCAACTCCCATGTTGAGAAATGCTGAGATATTTACATTACGAGTCATAACAGTCGCAAAATTACAGTTATGAAGTAGCAATGGAAATAATTTTATGGTTGAGGGTCACTACAATGTGAGGAACTATATTAAGGGGCCATGAGGGTTGAGAAACACTGGATTAGTCAGTGTTTTGGGGTAGAGATTAGTTATGGTATGTTTCCATCCTTTGTTGAAAAATTGTTCTGCATTGTGTGATATGTATTGCTGGTTTTAATCCCCCCCTCCTCCCCTCCGCATGTTAATAATTGTGACGATGTTGCGGTGCCGAGGTGTGGAAAATGAGAAATATGTCCCCCCCCCCCCCACCACCCACCTCATCACCCACCTCCCTCTTCTCCTTGTCTCATTCTTGTGTTTCAAACGCTCAGTCAAGACGAGGATGAGGACGATGACCTCCTTCCCCCAGAGCAAAAAGCCGAGCGGGAGAAAGAGAGGCGGGTGGCCAATAACGCCCGCGAGCGCCTGCGGGTCCGCGACATCAACGAGGCCTTTAAGGAGCTCGGGCGCATGTGCCAGCTGCACCTTAACAGCGAAAAACCGCAGACCAAACTGCTAATCCTACACCAGGCCGTCTCGGTCATTCTCAATCTGGAACAACAAGTCCGAGGTTAGTGGAGGACGTCCGACGGGGTGAGGTTTTTTTCGGAACGGCATGGGGGCTGTCTGTCTTGTCCTTCCAACCCCTCTGCCGCCAACTCCAATGCCAATGCCGGGAACCGTCATGCCATCCGGCCCCGGCGTGTCTCCGTGCTTGCTGCTGCTTCCTTGGATTCTCGATTCTCGCATCCTGTGTGTTTTCTGTTTTGTTTTGCTTGTGTGTGGTTTGTTTTGTTGTACGTACTTCTCAACATTGTTCGTTCGAGGCGGGAGGGTCAGGTCTGCATCCCTCGCCCTCTTGTGCTGCATTTGGACTGAGAAACTGAAGGGGGGAAGCGTGAGCCCTTTCTGCATGCTGGCCTTGTTCCTTTGTGGTTCCTTTTCGTCCCTCTCACCTTCCTTTTCCCTATGGGATTTTGGCCTGCATCAATAGGAATCTAGTGCCTAGATCCAGGGAAGTCACGCTACCCCTCTATTCTGCCTTGGTCAGACCACTTTACCTGGAATCACAGTGTGTCCCATTCTGGGCATCACAACTGAAGGGAGATGTTCACAAGCTGGAATGTGTTCAGAGGAGGGTGACTAAAAGGATCAAGGGTCTGGAGAACAAGCCCTATGAGGAGTGGCTGAAAGAGCTGGTCATGTTTAGCCTGAAGAAGAGAAGGCTGAGAGGGAGACATGATGAGGGCCAGGGATCAAGATGTGAGGGGATGTCATAGGGAGGAAGGAGCAAGCTTGTTTTCTGCTGCCCTGGAGACTAGGATGCAATGGGGCAATGGTTTCAAACTACAGGAAAGGAGATTCCATCTGAACATTAGGAAGAACTTCCTCACTGTGAGAGAGAGCTGTTCAGCACTGGAACTCTCTGCCCCAAAGTGTGGTGGAGACTCCTTCTTTGAAGGCTTTGAAACAGGCTGGATGTTGAGGTCTGTTGGAAACTCCAACAGACCTCACAACCTGAGGATGCCTGCCATAGATGTGGGTGAAACATCAGGAGAGAATGCTTCTGGAACATAGCCAGACAGCCCAGAAAACTCACAGCAACCCTACAAAAACATTGATTTTGCAGAACGTCCTGCAGCACATTTTACTATAGTTTGTCAATGAACCTCTCATCAAGTCTCAAGCAATTCAATGTAGTTTTGGGCAGCCACAAAATAACCAAGTTTCTGGAGTAGAACAACAACTTTCAAAGTAAGTACCACGCAATTAAACAGGAAATAACACTTTCAAGCCAGAAACTGAACATTATTCAAATTTTGTTATATAGTGTTCCAAAACCCCCCCTTAGGAGCCAAGCCCTCCCTGAAGTCATTACTAGCTTAGCCAGAGGAGAAGCAGGATGCAAGTTCGAACCCCAGGATGGGATGTTTCTGGAGAAAGCTCTGGGCAAACTTCCCGTCCTCGTAATCCTTCTCATAATTCTTCTTCTCATATAAAGATATCCCAAGCTGCAAACCAAATGCATAACTCCTGAAGCTGTAAAGTGGTACCTCTCTTTCCCCGCATGTGACCCGTTCCTGTGAAAAAACATAGTTGGTTCAACATACTTTCTCTGCCCTCTTGTTTCCTTTCTTCCACTCTTCTTGGTTTTTTGAACTTCAAGTATGGGCAAGATATGGGTGTTGGCCAGTTTCAGGAGTTCAGCAAATGGAAGACACTGGCCCCAAAAGGTTGTTTATTTATTTACAGTATTTATATTCCTCTCTTTTCACCCTGAAGGGGACTCAGGACAGATCACATACATGTGCGGCAAATGTTCAATGCCGTTATTCACTGACAAGACAGACAACTGTACATAGAAGTATACATAGGCTTTCCCATCTTCGGCATCTTGGAGGATGTGCTCAGTTCCGGCCATGGGGCTGCTGTCACTTCACTTTCTCTGTCAAAGAGCTGTTGCTTGTAAACTTCCTCCTTTGATTGAATCACCAGCATTTTTCTGGCATTGCCTTATGGGTGCCTTAAATACCTCCCCAATTTTAAGCAGTCCCTATTTATCTACTCACATTTTGCTTTCAAACCGCAACGTAGGCAGAAGCCAGGCTAAAAGGTCAGGAGCTCACCCTGACCTCGGCTTTGAACTGTCAGCCTCTTGATTGACAAGATTTACTGCAGCTGGTAGTTTAACCTGCTGTGCTAAAGCGGGTTTTAAGTGTGTCCAACTTGAAAGGTTTTTCTTCTGGTCCCAGTTGATCACCCGTCCTGTGTTTGGTCATTTCCAAAAGGGGGAAAGCATTTAAAAGTGTGAAGCAACAGTTCTGCAGATCAGAAGCGCTTAGAACGCAGCAGTGGAGGAAATGAGCATCAGCAATTACAGGAGGAGAGTCAGCCTTTAAAAGTTTCAATATAACTACATTGCTATAGGAAAGTTTGGGCCTAGTGCAGGTATAGGTAAAAGCAGGCCCGGGGGCCGAATGCAGGCCCCTTGGGCTCTTTTCTCAATCCCTCCTCTCTCTCACCATCCTATCCTACCTTCCTTCTCTCTTTCCTTCCTCTTTCCCTCCCTCTTCTTCCTTCTCTTCCACCCTTTCGTCCTTCCTGCCTTCCTCTCTTTCCTTCCTCCTTCCCTCCCTTCCTGCCTTCCCTCTTTCTCACTCCCTCCTTTCTACCCTTTCATCATTCCTTCCTTCCCTCTTTCCTCCCTCCCTTCCTTTCCTCCCTCTTTCTCCCTTCTCCCATTCTCTTCCACCTTTTCATCCTTCCTTTTTTTCCTTCCTTCCTCCTTCCTTCCTTCCATCATTCCCTTCCACCCTTTATTCCTTCCTTCCCTTTTTCTTTCCTTCCTTCCCTCTGTCCCTCTTTCTCTTTCCACCCTTCCCTTCCACCCTTTTGTCCTTCCTTCCTTCAACTTGGTCTTTCCTTCCTTTTCGTTTTCCTTCCTCCTTCAGTTCCTTCCTTCCTGCCATCCTTCTTTTCTACCCTGTCATCCTTCCTTCCCTTTTGTCTTTCCTTCCCTCTTTCCTCACTCCTCCTTCTCTCCTTCTCCTTCCATCCTTCCCTTCCTTCCTCCCTTCCATCCTTCCTTCCTTCTCTTTTGCATTCCTTTCCTTCCTTCCTTTCTTCCATCCTTCCCTTGCATCCTTTTGCCCTTCCTTCCCTTTTGTCTTTCCTTCCTTCCCTCCCCTCCCTCGTTCCCTTCCACCCTTTCATCCTTCTCCTTCCATCCTTCCCTTCCTCCCTTTCATCCTTCCTTCCTTCTCTTTTGCATTCCTTTCCTTCCTTTCTTCCATCCTCCCCTTGCAACCTTTCACCCTTCCTTCCCTCCCTCCCTCTTTCCTCCTTTCCTTCCACCCTTTCATTCTTCCCTTCCTCCTTTCCATCTTTACTTTATTCTCTCTTCCCTTCTTCCTTCCGTCACTTGAAAGCCAGTCCTCCTACCCGGGAGTACTAGCATGTGGCCTCCAAGTTAGAAAGTTTGCCCGGGCCTGGCCTAGTATCTAATGATCTAGAGACATCTTGTCTCCCTCCATGCTCACAGGGGAAGAACAAAAATGGAGGACTCAGGGGCTTGCCATGTGCTCAGAAAAGGAGGACTATAAATTTGTGAAGGCTTTGGCTGAATTCCAATATCCGGTCCCGTCTCTCCCCTTCCATCAGTAGTTGCCAAATGAACACCATCGTTTTTTGGTGACCCCGCAGGGACCTTTCAGGTCTCTCCAGTCCAGTTTAGGGCAAAAATCTGGTGGACAGCCTTGGAATGGGAGCTGGATTCGAGTCTCTCACCCCCAACACCTTTCTTCATGCTTGGCTTCTGCATGCGGGCATTTAACCTCTCATCCCCAAAAGTGCATCCCGGCAGGATTAACTCCTTTCGCTCCTTGCTCTTCTGCAGTTTTTTTTGTATGATTCCTTTTGTAAAGTATCGCAGGCCTGTTCTCTTCTCTGCCGTCATGTTGCGACGCTGGGATCCACCCGCTCTCTCCGGTCTAACCCGCCTCCCCTTTCTTTCAGCCTGTCGTAACATGTATGGACTTTATTTATTTTTGATTTATTTGCCTTGGTGTCTTCTCCTCCTCTGCCTTTTCTCTCCGTTCATTCCCCTCCTTTTCCTGCTTTCCTACAGACAGACCCCGGCCGTGACCTCGCGGTGGTTCCCTCCCTCTACCTTGTACTTGCTGCTTGCTCAGAGAGAGACCAAACAACAAGAACATCACACATGCACATACAAAACACATGTATATATACGTATATATTAATCAAGGAGGCACACAGGTCGTTCTGATAATAATTGAAAATTTGGAGGCAAACGGGAATGAGACCCTCGAAGCGGAACTTGGCACACAAAGCTATTTCTAGGCACTTCCCTGTAGACTTGTAGAGATTGTGATATAATGGTTTGAGGTTCGGAAACCCAGATTCAGATCAGCGCAGGGCCATGGAAACCCACTCTCTCAGCCTCAGAGGAAGGTAATGGCAACTTTGCTCCGAAACCCATTGATGGATTCACCTTAGTTGAAAAGGACTCTAAGGCAAAATGTGTTCCTTAGGCCTAGATGCCTTACTCCCTTGGTCATCCACTTTTTTGGAGACTTTCGGAATGTTTTCCCTTTCCTCCTGCTCCCTGTTCATCCATATTGGATCCCCTTGCTGTGTCTGCACTTTTGGCCGCATTTAACGGTCCGGTTCCTGTGCTGTGTTGTGTGCTCCCGCCATTGAATCCAGTGTCGAATCAAAAGGGGGAACGTGTTGAAAAAGTTAAGGTGGCAGCAATAGTTGCAGCAGTCTAGGAGATCAGAAGCTTCTTGAGTATAGCAGTAGAGCAAATTTATTTATTTATTGCATCAGAAGCAGTTGTAATGTATAGAAAAACCACAAACAAAGTTAAAATTTGGCATTATACTAAATTTCCTTTGACCAGAAGCTGACCACTTGGAGTGCCTCTGGTGTGGCTGTGAGGAGGTCCTCCGTTGTACATGTGGCAGGGCTCAGACTGCATTGTAGTAGGTGGTCTGTGGTTTACTGTCCTCCACACTTGCATGTCGTGGACTCCACTTTGTGGCCCCATTT